ACCTGTTGAAACAGTTCAGACACACACAGTGTATGGAGTTACCTTTACACAAGCCTGGCCTTTGCAAAAACAGCCATAAGATGCCTACCTTCAAAATAATGTATCACACAAGGGAACTGTAACTGTAAATGTAATGTAATGTAAATCCCATTAAGTAACTAAAATAACTGAATATTCTATACATTATTTTTCTTAGGAAAACTTCTATTATTGTACACATTTACCACAAAAAAAAATGCAAACGGAGCAAAACCACAGGAGACAACCAAAGAATTCTCTAATTTTAATTTGCAATGTTTCATCCACTTGTTACTTGTTTGCTAATTCAAAATTCATTTAAAAATGAAAACTATCAAGTGTTTTAGTAAATTATTAATCTCCCAATTACAATATCTACCAATACAAATTTTAAGCAAGATAAGTTGTGATACTCACGTTTATGGTATGTTTCTAATCCGTTTTCTCTACCTTCCTGCAAGATACTAGTGTCAGCACTTTGTGATGACCAATTTGATCACCCAAACAAAAGTTTTGTACTCTTTAGGACCTTTGTCCCATTCTAAAAATCAAGGACCCAGGGCCAAAGCTCTGTCCAACTGTTGCACAAAGATCTGGCATGTCGAAAGGGAAAATTACCAGGAAATTGTGGAAATTAGTACCAAATATACTCAGCTCAACCTCACATATAATCTGCTTTGTCAGGGCCACTGAGTTGCCCAAGCACCATCAGAGTGCAAAAGACTGCAGTAACATTGCTACAACTTCCACAATGGCTGGTTTACCTGAAATTTTTTATGCATTTGTTTTAGGATGCATCCTAAAGAAGAAATATGAATATCCTGAAGAAGAGCAGTGCAATAAATCACACATCTGTCCAGTGGATGACATTAACAAACCAACCTGTTTGTGTCTGCAGCCATGGCCCGAGGCAGGACAGCCTTCCCGGGCTCACAGCCAAAGGAGGTCTGGCAGCCTGGGACAGCTCTGCAGCCACTTTGCTGCTGCACTTCCTCCTCTCTTTGCCTTCCTCTGTCTCAAGGAGCCACCCTCATCACCCCTTCTTGACCCTGTTTCTACCACACAAACCCCATATGACTGTCCAGATAATACTTTATTCCAAGAGCACATCCATCCTCTTTCAGCCCACCCCATGGACACCCTACCCTACAGGACCTGATTGTGCCAGCTGTCACACAGTGTCATGTTTATAAGTTTGAGGTGATGCACAGCTGATAGCAAATATGCATTGTAACTGTCTAAATGAGAATGACAATAAACCAAAAAGGAATGAATACACAAAGTCCAGAGCATCTTCCCTCACAAAGTACGCATATGGGCTATATGCAAATAAGAGCTGTAATGTGATAAAAACAAACCCTGAGGGAGCAAAAAGGATCACTGTAAAACATTAAAAGCAGCACAGCCAAAATGTACAGTTTGAACACAGCGCAGGAAAGGTTAGCAAAGAAAAATATTTAAGTCACTTAAATAAACAAATTACTCCTGATAGGTGTTTGGAAGCAAAAGTGAGTGGTACAAGTATCTAAAATGCAAAGTTAAAAACCTCTTTTACTTATTTTTTATTTTGTTACATAGAAAAACAGAGGAAGAGCATTGATTATAACACTGGTTTCACTCATATATATACATTTCTAACATCAGCAATATATGTCTTTGAACCTACTAATCACTTAGTTCAGGCAAATTCTGAGGCTGACCCATGGCCACCAGTGCAATCAGAAAGAGATAAAATGCAAATTTCAATACGGTACTAAACTACTTAGAGCAGTTTCCCATCATAGCTCACAGAGGTTTTCTCTGGTCAGAGTCTGACCTTGGGGTGAGAAGGCAAACTCTTTTCACTCCTAGTTAGGAAGAAGAAAAAAAAAAAAGAGAAAAAAAGAGGAATAATGTTAATTCATTTCCTACCACTTCCCAAGAATATGACTTTGTAACTTTGCTCCTGAAGTTGTCACAATATTTTAATAAACTAATCAGTCTTATAGCCACTTGCAATTATAATATGCAGATAACTCTCATCTTGCTATTAACTTTGCCTTCACACAATTAACTACAAAATAACTTGGGGCCACATGGATACCAACCTCCCACTGAAGCAGAGTTTCAGTGTTGGGTCAGGTCACCCAAGCCTTATCCCATCACAACAGAGGGGTTTCCAGAGCTGGAATTTGCATAACACTCTCATGTAGAGCGTGTTCCTCTCACCCTGCAGAACTTTTCCTGCTGCAATATGTGACTGCTGCCTCTTGTCCTCCACGTGCACCCTTGAGATAAATCACTGTTTATCCTGCTGCTGGATTTTGGCAGCTCTGCATTCTGTCTGGTAGCCCAGGTGTGTCTGGCATCATGTAGGTGGCTTTGCTGTCCCCTGAATATGTCCATGGCAAAACAGGCAACCTGGAAGGTGCGCGCAAACTTCTCCAGACTTCCAAGCTGCTTTCCAAGCAAACACCTGTCTTCTTTTCCCATTTAGTTTCAGAAGGCTGGTGGTGTTCTCTGCTAACACAGCTCTCCAGCCCTGCAGAGCTTTGCCGGCATGGAGATGGTGCTGGGAAGAGCAGCACAGTGCCAGAGAGCAGGAGCCCTGGCTGGCAGCAAGGGCACCACAGGGGCAACTGTAGCACCTGCTGAGGCCTGTGTGGGTAACTCCAGAATCACAGAATCACCAGGGCTGGAAGAGACCTCCCACATCATCCGCCCCAGCCATCCGCCTGCTGCCACTGCGCCCCTCAGCCACTCAACCACAGCGCCCAGCCCCAGGCGGAGACGCCTGTTGAGCGCCTCCAGGGTGGGGACTCCACCAGCTCCCTGGCAACCTGTTCTGATGCCTGACCTCCTGAACAGGGAAAAATGTATTTCTAATATTTTATCTGATTCTCCCACCCCAGCTTAAAGCCATTTCCTCTGGTCCTCTCACTGCAGACGTGGCAGAAGAGACTGGCCTCATCTCACTACAGCCTCCTGCCAGGGAGTTGTACAGAGCAAGGAGGTCCCCCCTGAGCTCCTGGAGACTGAACAACCCCAGCTCCCTCAGCCACTCCTCGTAAGACAAGTGTTCTAAACCTCTCTAAACCTCTAAACCTTGGTGCCCTTCGCTGGACATGCTCCAGTACCTCAATGTCCTTTTTAAAGTGAGGGTCCAAAACCTGCACACAGAACTCAAGGTGTGACTTCACCCATGCTGAGTACAGGGGATGATCACTTCCCTGGTCCTGCTGGCTAAACTATTCTTGATACAGATACAGGGAAGAGACTGGAAGGACCTGGTGGGGTGGGAATCTGGTCATCCAGCAGCCCTTTGCTGGAGCAACTCTGTGATGAGGTGAGGTGAGGTGAGGTGGGGTGAAGTGAGGTGGGGTGAGGTGAGGTGTGGTGAAGTGAGGTGGGGCAGGGCAGACGAGCCCAGGGAGAGAAGGTGCTGAGGTGTGGCAAGGTGATGTGGAGCCAAACACGGAGCAAGGCAATGCTGAGGCAGCAGCTCCAGCCTCCACCTTGCCTCCTGGGCTGCTGCAGCCTAGGAAGAAACAAGATCTGCTTATTCCATAAGGCTTCTGGAGAACAGTACAATAAATCAGCCCTGCAGAGAGACCTTGATAAATCAGAGTGCTGGGCCATCACCAACTGTGTGAGGTTTAAAAAGGGAAAGTGCTGGATTCTGCATCTGTGGTGGGACAACCCTAATGTACCTACAAACAGGGGAACAAGAACCTGGAAAGCAGTGCCGAAGAAAGGGACCTGGGGGCAAGTGAATATGAATCAGCAGTGCCCTGGCAACCAGGAAGGCCAGCTGTGTCCTGGAGGGCAGCAGGCACAGCATCATCAGGGGTGGGATTGTTCATCAGGCCAGGGCTGGGATTGCTCTGGTCTGCTCTGCTCAGAGATGGCCTCACCTCGAGTCCTGGGGGAGTTTTGGACACCACAATGCAAAAAAAAGACGTTAAGCTATTCAAGAGTGTCCACAGGAGGGCCACAAGGATGGAGAAAAGCCTTGAGAAGCCAGATGAGAAGAGGCTGATTACACTTGGTCTGTCCAGCCTGGAGGAGACTGAGGGGAGGCCTCATTGCAACTTCCTCACGAGGGGATGGGGAGGGACAGCTCAGCACGGAGCTGTGGTGGCCAGCGACAGGACAGGAGGCAATGGCCTGGAGTTGTGTCGGAGCAGGTCTAGGTTGGATATTAGAAGAAGGTTCTTCACTCAGAGGACGGCTGGGCACTGGAATAGGCTCCCCAAGGACGTGGCTGCAGAACCACGCCTGGCAGAGTTCAAGGAGCACTTGGACAACACTCAGGGGTACACGGTGGGATTCTTAGGGACGGTCCTGTGCGGAGCCAGTAGTTGGACTCGATAACCCTTGTGGGTCCCGTCCAACTCAGCATATTGTGTGATTCAGTGAAATCGCGGCAGCCCTGGCCCGGGCGCAGCGCTGCCACGCTCATCATGGCGGCAGGGCCGGCACCGCGTCCCCACACGGCGGCCCCGGCGCGGCGGCGCTGCCCGCTGAGCCCCGCGGCGGCCCGGGAGCTGCGCGGGCGCCCATCCGCCCGCCGCGCGGAGCGGCCCGGCAGCCGCGGGCAGCCGCGGGCAGCCGCGGGCAGCCGCGGGCAGCCGCGGGCAGCCGCGGGCAGCCGCGGGCAGCCGCGGGCAGCCGCGGGCAGCCGCGGGCAGCCGCGGGCAGCCGCGGGCAGCCGCGCCCGCCCTCTGCCGAGCGGCGCCGAGCGGCGGCGGGGCGGCGTGCGGGAAGATGTCTCCCCGCCGCCCCGGAAGCGCTCGCGAGGCGCCAACATGGCGTGGCGGTGCTGGGCCCGCGCCGGGGCTCCCCGGCCGCACAGGTGCGGCGGCGCGGAGGGCACGGGAGGGAAGGGAGGGGAGAGGCGGCCGGGGCGGGCGGTGCTGACGGTTCGCATGTTTGCCCCGCAGGCTGGCGCTGCTGCTGCTGCAGCCGCGGCGCGGGTTCCGCCGGGCGCGGCCGCGGCCCGAGGAGCCCCCGGCGGCCGCGGCCGAGGCGCGGCCCGCCCAGCCGCCGCCGCGCCGCCGCCTCTGCCCGCCGGCGCCCACCGCGGCCGCCGGCCGCCCCTCGCCGCGCCGCCTGCTGAAGCCGCTCCTGTTCGCCGTGGGGGTAAGTGGCTGCTGCGGGCCGGGTGCTGTGCCCGCTGAGGGGAGCCGGCCCGTAAGGAGCGTATTCCAGCTGTCCCAAAGGAATGCTTCCTCCGTGGGCTTCGCTTCTCAGCCCCTCAAAGCTAACGCAAGGTATTTGGCCAAATACTGTAGCGTTATAATGAGCTAATACAAAGTAACTTGAGCTAAATCGGTGAAAATACGGTAAAGGGATCCTACCTTCATTCAATTTCGGAGAACTTAGTAATATCATTGAGGAGTATGTGAACCTTTTTGATAAAGCATCGTCCCGTGGCACTGAACATTCAGTAAACCTGAGGAAATGGCCTCAAGATGCACAAGGAGAGATTTAGATTAGATATTAGGGGGGAAAATACCAGAAGAGGTTGCAAAGCATTGAAACAGGCTGCCGAGAGCAGTGGTGCAGTCCCCATCCCTGAAAGTGTTCAAAAAACACGTGGATGTGGCACTCGAGGACATGGCGAACTCAGTGGTGGTGCTGGTTTGACATTTGGACTCATGCTCTTAAAGGTGTTTTCCAGCCGTAGGGGCTGTGCCATGCTGTCAGTCCCGCTGGTCAGCGGTGCCACAGGTCCCGTTGCTCGCATCCCTCGGGTGTGGCATTAGCCCGGGATGCCCTTGTGGCAGAGCTGAGCCTTTGTCCGGTGTCCCGCAGTTCACAGGCTCGGCCTTCGGCTCCGCCGCCATCTGGCAGTACGAGTCGCTCAAGTCGCGCGTCCAGACCTACTTTGAGGAAGCTCGGGCGGACTGGATGGATAAAATGCGGCCGCAGAAGAGAGGCGACTTCAGAAAGCAGGTACGCGGAGCCAGGCCGGGCTGCTCGCACAGGGCGGAGCCCTGCGGGACTGCGAGGCACATTCATCTCCTCGTGTGAGCGTCATTTGTACAACAGATTCTTGTCCTGGTTTTTCTGATTTGGAACTTGCAGAAATATTGCCTTCTCAAAAAGTTACAGTAGATAAGTTGACTTGCAAGGAAAACTGATAGAATTAGTTCTAGAGAACTGTTACTCAATAGTCACTGCGAAGGTTATAGTGAAATAATGGAGAAATATATAATCTTCACCCAGAACTGCAGGAAAGACAGGTCAGTAGTAGGAATTTGTTAATTTAAACTAGGTATCGTTTGCTTTTTCACCATAAAAAAAAAACCAACAAATGTTCTTGCATTATCTTAAGTGCTCTCAAAAGTGAACATGAATTCCCAGAGGACAGAACTAGATTAAATTTTCAGTCTTATGCTTAAGGCTTTTTAGTGCTCTGGCTTCTGAAATGAATTTGTATTTTCAGCCTCTAAACCCTTAAAAATACAAGGTTTTAAAGGGTTTTTTTACTTTTAAGAGCTGACATTTCCACACAAGTACTTTTGAGTCAAGTACCTTTGAGTTTGAGCAGCGAGAACAAAGTAAGTGCTGCAAGATTTGTTATAAATTTAGTTGGCATCCCAAAAGTATCAGCCATTTAGTTTTTAATTTAGTATACTTAAAACTAACCTAAGCATTCATGTATGTTTGTATTTGTTTCAAGGTTACTACTGGCTTGTGATAGACCAGGCTTGATACTCTTTCAGGTCTTCTCGTGCAGGGGAAGTAGGGCTGAGCTGGAGCTGGAGAGGCTGGGGATCCTCTTGAGGATACACAGGAGCTGTTTTTCTAATGTGCATGGTGCTCACCAGCCCTGCTGTGGAAGTGGGCGTGTGGGATAACCCTGGTGGGCAGCAGAGCTCCATGTGGCTCCTCGCTCATGGCCCCCACAAACCCCCGGTGGGCTGGGGGAAGAAGAAAAGCAAGAAAACTTGGGAGTAAAGTAAAATAAACACCAAAGAATTGTTTAGTAAGTGTGAGAAGAGAGAAGAAAACAAGTGATGCATAGATAGTCACTCACAATCTCCTGTGGAAAGACCATTTCCCAGCCATTTCATGAGAAAAATATGCTAAAGCTCCTGAATCCCGTCTTCTGGGGGATGCCATTATTTGGTAGGGACTATCTCTGGTTAGTTCACATCATCTGCTTGTTGGTGTCCCCTTCCAGCTTGTTGCAACCTGCAGCCACAGAGTGAGAAATGCAGAAGATCTTGATGTTGTGCAAACACCATTCACCAGAATGTAGAACATTAGTGTGTAATCAGTACTGTCCTGGTCAAAAATCTAAAACACAGAACCATGTATAAGCTGCTAGAAAGAAAATTACCTTTATACCAGCATACTTTCTTGCTTGGTGTATATGCACTGCAGGGGAGATTGCAATCAGCACTTAATATTTTTAAATAATTATGTCTTTATACTTTTGTTTTCCTTCAAAACCTGAAGGGGAAGATCTGGTGATTAGATATCCAAAAAAGAAAACTAAACTGCCCTGTTGTTAATAGGCTTAAACTCCCAATCCCCATCTTCAATGGGTAAGTTCTATTTCTAAGAGTTCAGGATTCCCCCTGTTGTTTCTGAGGGTCTATAATTGTTGTATTTTAGAAAAATTATGTTTGTTCTGTGTTCTTATACTGAAGAATATCCTCTGCCAGAGAATTAAACAAAATATGCAGTGAAGGTGTTACTTTGATATCATATAGTGAATACTTTGTTTCATACAGCATTACATCCCCTGCTTCCAACCTGCAGATAATTTTTTATGACATTGTCCCCATCAATATGCTTGGAAGGTCATTGAGGTATGCAACAAAATATATGTCCCAAATTATTACAAAAGCTGAGGAAGGGAAAGGGGGGTGCAATTTGTCTGTGGACTGACTGCACTCAAAATAAACTTTTTCAGGGGTTTTAAACTTGGAGGAGGGCTGGGTGAACTGGACGCAAGGGGGAATGGATTCCACATCTTGTGAGCCACCTCTGCAAAAGTGATCCTGGCAAAAAGTGGAATCACTCAAAGGTGGGTGGTGTGATGTTAGACAGCATTAGGGTGAGGCTTAGTCGAGGCAGGATTTATGCTAACTTTGGCTAATCTGCTAAAGTCAGCATTATGGGCTAGATCTTTGTTTATTGCAAGCAGGGTAAACCCACTGGAGTTGTGCAAAAGGATGTAAACCCATTCTTTTTGGAGAAACTCTTCATCCATATTGGGGTATTTTTTGAAAGGGAGGGTAGATAGCTGTTCTTCAGTAAGGAAATGTCAACTTGAAAAGCTAAAGCTATCAGAAGTAAAGAAAATTGAAACCAATTTACTTCACAGATTTCAAACAAATGCTTTCCATTCTTAAAAACATATAAGCTTTACGTGGCTATTTTTGAAATTGCAAGTGCTTCATGGTGGCATTGATGGACAACAATTCTGTTCCAGGTTAACAGCTGGTGGAATAACCTGACTGAGGGTCAGCGGACTGTGACAGGTTTGTGTTAGCTTACAAGTATTAGACATTCACAGGAAGAGAAATATGGCAAACAGGTACAGTATATTTAAACAGATGGCTTTCATACCATGTTTAGGTTGTTGGACACAAAGCATGTGTAAATTTACACCTGCACATACACTATTTCTGCTACCATTCCTTCTCACAAACTATTTTTTGTGTGCCTTAAAAAAGTTCCTGTGCATCTGTGTGTGTGAGTGTGGAGGATTAAGTAGAATCCTCCCCCAGCAAAAATTTGCGCACAAATTATGAAAAACAGCAAATGCTTTTAGAAGAAATAGGTGGATATGTGCCACTGAAATGTGCGACTGAAAAATTCCGTAGTAGTTACATATTTGCAGTATGCCATGTGAAAAGTAGCAGAAAATTAGCCTTTTAGCTTTCCTTTGGTTACAATGTAGTTTTGATTGGTTAGCCTAATGCCAGCTGAAATCCCTGAGATAAATGTAATGTGTGAAACAAAATTCATGAGAACTTGATTTGAATTCAGTAGTTGAGCCTTATATCCCGCTACATATTCTACATTAAGTATTTACTGAATCTGTATTAGTAGGTTGTTAGTGTAAGGTTACTTAAATGCCATTTAACAGTTATTTTCACCTTTCATGTTTCCAGCTATTATAAAACATTTTAAATACCTAAATGCTTGGACAGAAGCAGAGAAGGCACTTTAAACAAGAAATAATACATTTTCATTATGTTTCAAATAATTTACACTCCTACTTAAAGTAAGATAGAAATAACATCTGTGAAGTAAAAAGCTGTGTGTTTGCTGTCTCCTAAAGGTCACTAACCCCTAGCAATGCCAATTCAACTTTACAATTTTCTTAAAACCAAAACTCCCCCCCCAGAAATGGACAGGACGTGTACTGTGTATTTGTATGGTTCCCCCAGTCTTCTCCTCTTGTGCACTTAAATGCAACTGTGCAGTAGATTGGTGGCATTTGGAAATAAACAGCAAGAGGGGCAGGAAATGGGACCTCTTAGCTGGCTCCTGTTTCATTGATTCTGCAATAGAATATAGCACTTTGAAACCATAGCTTGAACCTTCTCAGCACAGGTCTTTCTGGACTGTTGGACTTATTACACTGTATGTTAGAACAGTTGCAATTAAATGTCATATTTTTGAAAGACTTACACTACATGAACGTAGCTTTCAGTATTTTTCATTGCTTTTTCTAAACTGTGTACAAAGTAAGAAGTAGATATTGCTTTTAATGGAATTATGAAGAAAAAGTACAGTTCTACAAGCTGCCTTTATAAATGCTTTCTTTCAGTAAGCATTATGGTATATTACAGTTGCAATTTGCTTTCATACTTTCTTTTCCCCTCTTCACAGGTATTATAGCTGCAAATGTCTTTGTATTCTGTTTGTGGAGATTGCCTGGCATGCGACGGATTATGTTTACATATTTCACCTCAAATCCATCCTCCAGTAAGTGAACAATAATTTGGGTGGCTTTCCTACACAGAGATGTAACAGAATAATACTGCAGAAGGCTCAGCTGGCACATGGGTTACTTAGATCTCCATCACCCACAAGCAATCTCAGTCGTGCCCAAACACATTATTCCATCTAGGCAGAAAATGGTTTGAGGGGAAGAATGTTAGAAGTAATGGATCTGATTTTTTGAAGCAAACACAACTGGTACTTTTCTAAATATTGTAACATCAAAACTGTTGCCTGCTATGTGGCCTTTTCCTGCATGCAGTGGCATGCAGCTCCTGCTTGAGTAAAGCTGAGAGGTGCTCTTCCAAGTGATATCAGCCAAACTGCTTTCTGGACAGAATGCAAATCAAGCCACTGAGTGGAGGAAAATAAGCTGTACTGCATAGTGCCATTCATAAACTAGACTCAAATGTAATTATTTCCCCCCTTTAATGTTCTGTGGGCTGCAGATAGAACCATCATCAGTCATGTGCATCTATGCTTTCATCAGTAGACAAGGATTAGAATGGAGGTTGTGTACAGAGTCCTTGTTTCAAAGCTATGCTTTCAGTCACATTAAGAAAACCCAAACAAACCCAAGCACTAACTTGGCTTTCACTGTGTGTGAAATGTCCTGAAAATACTAACCTAGGGAAAAAAATTAGTAATATTTAATGCCAGAAAAATGAGGTTTCATTTCTACAGCAGAGAAAATAATTAAAGAATTAAAAGGACAAGGAGACAAATGTGTTTGCAAGGTACTTCCTGCTACCGCTTAATTTCTGCTGAAAATGTGGAAACTCAACCAGTTCCCCCACGCACTCCAAAGCTAAAGATATCTGCTACCCAGATCTGAGCATGTCACCCCAAACACTCCTGTTTGAAATAATGTTGACCTTCAAACCTGCTAATTGGCTTGTGTGCATTTTCAAGGCTGCCATTTCAGTGAGAACTAGTAGCTTTTTCAAAAAGGAAAACTATTTTTCTGAGTTCATCTTTGTTGTAAATTCATTTTATATGGCTGCTCATGTATTAAAAATCATTCACCATATACACATATAAATTAAATACCTTTTTTCTTTTTCAAAGCATAGGACACATGTCATAAGATAATGTTTTTATGAAACAATCCCCTGTTATTACAGCTTCCAGATCTTTGGGGTATATGTTCTACCTTTCCAAAAGGCATTGCATGGAATTTTAAATTTATTCCATTGCTGGGTTTATTTCCTAGCTTGTATTTGAGAATCTAGGCATAATTATCGTAGTGTCTCTTGATAAATTTCTAGTCTGTATGATGTGTAAATTGAAGCAAATTAAAATACTGGCTTTATGTGCATTGCTTTTCTCTTTTGTAGGAGCCCTGTGTTCTCCCATGCTGCTCTCTACGTTTAGTCACTTCTCTCTCTTCCACATGGCAGCAAATATGTATGTTCTATGGAGCTTTTCCAGCAGCATTGTCTCTCTTCTGGGCTGTGAGCAGTTCATTGCAGTATATCTTTCTGCTGGTAATGTTAAATATATTTATATTTACAACACTTAAAAAATATAAATATGTGTTCATACAAGTAAAATGTGTGCTTGGTTAATAGCTATATGATGACAGATGGCCATTGTTCAGTCCCACACATTGCTTTATACTAAAGGCAATACTACTTTGCTGTCATACAGATTTTTTGGTGGGTTTAAGATACTGGGCTTTGAAATATGATAAAACCATATCTGGTTTTAATTCCTGCTTTACTACCAAAATAAAATAGCTCTTAATACAGTCTCTTGGAAATTTTGTGACAAAAGATGACAGTTAATTTGTACTTATTGATGGTGGTCTGCATTGCTGCCATCATTTCCAGTAGTAATTTCTCTTTTTCAGGGGTTATCTCCACTTTTGTCAGTTATGTTGCTAAAATGGCCACGGGAAGGTTTGAACCGTCCCTTGGAGCTGTAAGTATCTTGGAATATGAGACACTGATCATGAAGCCTGCTGTATTCTTTCGCCTCTTTAAAAGCCAAGAGTGTATCTGGGGTAATGGAAATTAGAAAGGTTTACCAAAAGCAAGTAACCAGGTATGAACTGGTTCTCCTGTGCAACAACTTGCCTGTTCTTCTGATCTGTTACCTCTGCTGCAGCAGCTGCCCAGAGCCAACACCACTTAATGCTGAGAGTTGTAAATGAGTCCTGAACAGCAGGAGCTCTTGTCCCTGAGCAGATCAGTTATGTAACTTTTTATTGCAAAAAAAGTATTTTGTAATTGCGTAGCAGTCTTCTCTAATTAAAAATAGAATACTTTGGAAAGAGATAATGGAATCAGACAATCAAACTCAGCATGTGATCCCAGTGGAAGTTGTAGAGCATGCTGTGCAGGAAGGGCAGCACTCCTGCCAGAAGTCTCACCCGATTAATGATATGAGACAGGCTGAGGAGTTTCTGCAGCTGCCAGTTCTTTCCAAGTGTTTTTAGTAGTAGAATGTTTTAAAACACTTAACTTGCATTAAATTTGAGGCTAACCTAGACATTTGCCAGGTTTAAAGGCTTAACTTACTATACGAAATAATTTTGATAAAAGCCCAAAGTCATAGTATTCTGTTAGAATGAAAAAAATACTTAGTTGTGCTGAAGTTAGAACTTTCAGAAATGCTGTCTGTGTACTGTCCCTTTGCCTTATGAATGAACTGTATCTGGAGCAAGTTACTTTCCCTTAGTCTTACTGATCTGAACTTACTGAAATTACCAAACATTGCATTAATTTGCTGCATTCAGAGCCTTTCCATTGAGATATTTCAGGGATACAAAACCCCATGGTCAATTCAGTACAGTCCAGGGAATTATTTATTTCATTGACAAAAGATTTTTGTTCCTGTCCATCTGTTATTTTCCTTGGTTTTGTACAAGCTTCAGAGTGTTTTGCTTCATCAGATGTGTCTATGTTTGATTGATACATATTAGATTTCTAGGGTTTACTTGGGAAAAAGCATGTTTCTAGAAATCATTATCTTAAATTCAGGAGTCTGTATTTCTTAATTATATAAGAGGATTTGAAGGATGTTTTCCCCCAGTATTTATAATTCCAAATATTGAAATTAAATAATGGTGTCTTGTTTTTTAGTTTGTTTTTTTTTTTTTTTTTTTTTGATTTTTTTTTTTTTTTTTTTTTTTTTTTTTTGTGTGCTTTGTACTTTGAGGTTTACCACAGGGCTGCATTTGAAAATAAAAGCCAAAAGGAAAACAGGTTCACATGCAGAAAAATATATTATCCTTTATGTAATATCTTAGCTTGCTTTGATGTGTTTCCTGTATTTCAGTCAGGAGCTATAATGACTGTCCTTGCAGCCGTGTGTACGAAGATGCCAGAGGCAAAACTGGCCATCATCCTTCTTCCGATGTTCACATTTACAGCAGGAAGTGTAAGTGCCTTTGAACTTCAAAGAAATGCTACTCTCAAAACATTTTCCTCCTCCCTCTTCAGTATCTGAGCATGTCTCCTCTTCCTCTGTGTTTCGAAGCTGTTGAATTTATTTTGAAAGAGAAGAGGGTCCATGGAATCCCAGAGATCAATTCTGAATTGTTGCAGCCTAGCAGAGTCATTACAACAGAGTGTGGTGAATTCAGAATTATCCTAAATTCCATCCTCCACGGGTCTGTTTCAGATCTAATCCCAAGAAGTCAAAGAAGTTGGGAGGGAGTCAGGTTCACCTGTCTGAGGAAACCTACATACACATCCTCTTCTTTCCGATGGGTGGTATTTTTATAGCAGCACTTGAAACAGGCTGATGTAAAACTGCTACGTGGTCTTTAAAGAAAAATGTATCAAGATGAGAAACACAGAATTTCACTTCTCAAGATTATATTCCAACCCTGGAGGAACATTTGCCTTCTCGTTTGCTATCATCTTTTGATACTTTTAGGAGCACTGTTGGAATTAGAAGTAGGCTACTGAGACTTGTCTTTATGTGTAGTACTACAACTTCTTTTTTTGTTTCATTAAGTTCTTTTATGCACATCCACTGCCACATTTAAGAAAAGCTTCTCATGTATATCTTAACTTGCTTTAATAAGTTAATCATGTTTGGACCACTACTTAAAGGTGTTTTACTGCTTAAAGCAGTTGAGCCAGGTCATTCCAAGATCATGAGATTTAATACTCTTTGTAAGTGAAGCTTATAGGTTTGAACAAACATGCTTAGATTTAGCCTTCATGTTTTTGGAGTTTTTTTTGCATGCTACGCTTTAACTGCATCTTTCTTTAAAAAGGTGGCCAGGGTGGAAATATAGGTAGAGCCATGAGAGCATTGCCATGAGCAAATGCTCACTGCAAAACAAGAGCAATATCAGCTATTGCAGTAGAAACATTGCAATGATTTTGGCCTGAGTATATAATTGTATAATAGCTTATCTAAACTTTACAAACTCCTTTAATCTACCTTACCTATACTGTAATGGGCTTTCAAATTAAACAAGCTAGTGTAGCAATGGAGCTTCTATTCTAACACCTATGCTTAAGGAAAGAAATCCTGCCTAAAGTACCATTTCATCCTAGCATTAAATCCTAGAATTAGAGAATGAGAATGTTGCAGTTACATATTTTGTGGTGTCTTTTATAGCATGTAGTCTTTCAAGTAATTTCTGTTTCCTCCTGACCCACGTTTGGAATGTATGTGTAGCTTTAGAAATTAAGATTGGAAGAGACTGAGTGTTAAAAAAGGACATTCCCACCCTGAGATTAAGCGTTTAAATTAAAGAACACATTCCCACCCTGCACTATTCTGTAGCTGCTCACATCTGTATTTTGACAGCACAATACAGCTGGGACTGAGTCACTTGTTTTAAAAAAAAAATTTACAGTAATTTCTTTGATACAAAATCTATAGGATGTTTTTTGATTCCAAATTTTTGCTCTGTGCTAGAATAGAAAACTGTTATCATTGGCCATTTTATGCTGTGACTGATCTTGTCCATTCCGTGTTCTCTCGTTTCTAGGCTTTAAAAGCCATAATTGCATTTGACACTGCAGGGCTTGCTTTAGGCTGGAGACTTTTTGACCATGCTGCACACCTTGGGGGAGCTCTCTTTGGAATGTAAGTCTGTATTTACTAACTCTGTTGTGTATTTAAATTAATCCTGTATTTTTCTCTTTCTATATTGCTGAAGTGTGAGGGTTTTTCTATAAATGTGTCTTAACTAGCAAGGAGTACAACTCACTGTTACTCTTTTAGTGCTGTAAATTTTTATGGAAAAATAAAAGTCATTGTTCACTGAAAGTGTTGAGCTGAACTGCCTTAGAATCATGGATTAAATGTCAGGTGGTCTGTAAGCTGGGCTGGCTGTTTCTGTCCTGCACTTGCCAGCACATTGAGAGAGTCACAGGGCAGAAAAGATTCTCACAAAACACAGACTGGACAAATTGAAACAACTTTAAAGAGATAAAAAAATGTCTTTGTGTCAGTGTTTTTCCTCTAATTGCCAATTTACAGAGAGCCACAGAGTTAATAAAAGCTTAGGCCAAATTCCTATGAGCAGCCTCAAGTGCAGTTTTCTCAGTGTTGCTGTATTGCCTTTGTGGGAACAAATTAGTAAATTAGTTCTTCCTAATTAGGAAGAACTACTAGAAACAAGTTTATAGGAAACAGTCCTGTATTGTTCCATGTTTGAACTACATTGAATTTTTCCCCTTCTACCCAATTGCACACCTATTCCTAAGTGCATTTTTTAGTATTTTAGGTAGGCATTTGAAAAGAGATTTCACTAGGCCAGACTTAAAGGCAAACCAACTTGTAGACCAAATTGTTTCCTATTTCTTGGCTTTGGTGTCAGTAAGTCCTGTGCTGTACAGTCTCCCTTTCTCCCTGTCTCTGGTATCACAAATGCATCTGATGTAGTCTTGCTGATTCATAACTGCTTTCTGTCCTGATGGATCTGAATCAGCTTGTTCATTGTAATGAAGGAGCAGTCTGCATTGGTAAGGTTCACATATTAAAAGAGGGTAGCAGTTGCAGTAAAAATGATCTGGAGTTGGCAAGTTTCTTGCTTTCCCCACCTACATATGTTTTACCTGTTTGTTCTACTCAGTGATGATTTTGGTCACTTCATCCTAAAAGAGAAAGGGCCTTATTTAGGACCTATGTTGAATGACCAAAGTATTTTCTATACATTGCCTCCCACTTTAGAAAGTAGCTGTATAATTTAAAGGGATGGCCAGTTCACTGGCTGCTGGCTCACAGAAAAGTGCTTTTGTTCCTCAGGATTCAGGTGTGGAGTTGGGCTTGGGAGAGAACCTTCCACCAATTTCCATGTGATTGTTTCCCCTCCTGCCTCTCCACCATAACCTCCATTGCTTAATCACTTATGTTGATATTCATGTATTAGCATATAATTGTCTGTGAATATAAACAAAGCTAGAATACTTTGATAGATTAATCTTTAGGTGCATATAGAAGAAAATTCATCTTGAATGGAACATGGTTGTTCTTCATGGGGCAGTTGTTATGTATATAGAGGAAGAAAGAACACTTTCCCTTGGTGTTGTCAGTAAGGATCAGCACAAGCAACAGAACTGTTTTAACAGTCTTAGAAAGGCATAAAAAATTATCTCCCTTTAAAAGTAGAAATCACAAAAGCCTGAAATTAAAGGCAGGAAAACTGTTCATTCTCAGGACTGAGACAAACGAGAACAACAATGTTAACTGTTTGGAGTCAAGAGAATGAGTGGCTTACCTGCTGTTTTCCAAGCACGTTGTTCCTTGTGCCTTAGTTTATCTTGTCTCTTATACTGAATATTTCCTTGATTTCAGGCTCAGCCTGTTTTCCCTCAGATGCAGAGGGAAGTCACAGTTAACTTTGACTTTCTTTCCCAGGTGGTATGTGACTTATGGCCACGAGCTCATATGGAAGAACAGAGAACCACTGGTGAAAGCTTGGCATGAAATGAGGACAAAGAACACAGGAAAGGGAGGAGGTGGAAGATCTAACTGATTCTAATCCTAGATTACATGTGCCCAAGTGGTATCTTACTTGAAGACATGGGATTGGATTGGTTTTGAAGGTTTTTTTGCTACTCCACATTAAGCCTCTAAGGAGCTGAAGTTTCTAAAGTAACAAAATTATGTTACAAAAATTCATATCCATAGAAAATGAACTCTGACAAAGGTGGAACAATAAAGGTTTTTATTCTATTGCTTTCTGAGATAACAGTCTGCATTACCTTTTTAAAGGTGGAATAAAACATGTTTTTTCAATTAAGTTACCTAAATCTTTGTCAAAAAAAATTTAAAATTGGGTGCAACTGGTTAATACTTAAGAAGATAAAAATTTTTAGAACTGAGGAAGTTAATGGATCACACACACCCCCAGTGTCTGCCAGACAAATACAAGGCGCGTGCTTTCCTAGAAGGGAAATGGAACTCAAATAAGGCTAATATGGTGAAGTGGTTTTTATTGTTGAAATTATTGGATAAAGTGAGGCAATGGTCTTGTTTGATTTGAAACTTGAAATACGTGAAGCAATACTGGATTGTTTGCAAAGGCTTATGTACTGGTTTAATGGTCCAGCTTGTCACTTGTGCTTATTCGGCTTATTTCTGTTGAATTCCAACAAGCTTTTAGATGTTGTTAGATTTTCCTACAATGACAAACCAGAACTCCAACAATATCCTTTTTATAATTACATGCAGGGGAAGAATGACATACTGTGTTTTTTTATATTCTACCGAGAGTTACACTGCTTTCTGTATTCTTTCACTGCATTGATTTGCAGGTGGGGTAGAGGGGTATTCATTAAGCTGTACTGTATTGTTACTTTTCTTTAAGGTTTTTCTAAGAATTTTAAACCTGTAACATCTGGCTCAGAGTCTGCCAGTTGTAGAAAATAAGCAAAAACAGATGAGGTGACCGAGATGAGCAATGCTGTAAACAGAAGTAACTACTAAAGTAAACCTGAGCGTAGTACCATGACCAGTGTTCCTATTTCACAAGTAAAAACTGGATTTGGGGTATGCTGCTGCTCTGTGCCTGTCATGCAAGGATGGTTCTGAACCCATTGCAAAAGGCTTAGGCATCTGCCCAGACACAAGCTGGTGGGTTCCAGCCCTTTACTCTTTCCTGTCAGCTGAGTTAGTCCTTCCACATGGACTGACCTGCCAAAGAACATCTTGTGTTTATAAGAAGCAACTTTGAGTGTGTTTTTACTTTACAGCAGGACCTCACATATAATAAATTTACTGTGGGGAAAGGGAATACATAATGCTAAGTGGCACCAGTTTTAATAAATGATGGAGTACATAATTGGTGTAGACTCCCTGTCCCAGGCTAGTGCTTATTTAGTTTTTTTTTTTTTCTTTAGAAAAATGAGACACTTGAGGATTTGAAACTTCATGTGCCTGGCAACATAAATGCTTAATAATTAAGGAGGTGGAGTACCTTATGTTACCAAATATTCCTTTGCTCTCCTGAAGTTTTCTGGCTTTCAGTTTCCAGTCTATCACTTACTCCACTTTCCTGCTCTGTGCTGTGGTATTCTGGCCAAGCCTGTTATTTCTCAGAGCTTCAGCCACAGTGCAGCCCTGCCTGCAGCAGAGGGAGGGCAGCCCAACATGCAGCGAGAGCACAGCACAGCCACAGAGAAGCCAGCAGCAGCAGCAGCAGCAGATGATGGCCTCTGAACAGGCATGTCCTAAGGGAGCGTTTCATGCCAGGGAAGCTCAAAAGCCATACCTCAGACTACTTCACGTGCTGCGTTTGCATCTGTTGTCTTTGTCCACTCTTTTTTCTCCCTCTTTCTCTTCCTTGTGTTACCTCTTGTCCACTCAACAGTTTACCTAGTCTCTTCAACAATTATTTGCTGAGAATTTTTCAGAGATCCTGGCTGAAAGGAGTAATGCTGCAGGAAATAAAGTGTATTAAGCCTGAAGAACATTATATTTTACAGGTGTAGTAGGATGAGCCAAAGTTGCAATTAAGTTCTTCAACATAGCACCAGTACCTCCTGGCCCTGTATCATCTGCAGAAGTGAAGTCCCACTTGTGCTGTGGTAGACCTCTCTGCAGCGTGTTGCTGCACTCTCAGCTTGCAGGAAGGGTATCAAAGCACCTGAAAAAAACATCCTGGAACTGCCACAGAGGTTTGGAAGTCATCAGCTTTCCAGCCAGTGGCTGTGGTTTGAGGGTCTCATGCCTAAGCTTCACCTTAACTTTAGGCATAAGAGCGTTCACCCTTCTGAAGGCTGTTGAGTATCTCAGTTTTTCTCATTTATAGAGACCCTAGAGGTGTGTACCATATGTAAGGTTGTACAAAAATCGTCACCAAGCAGTGGCTAAGCAATGGGTTTCATATCATTTTGCACCTGAGCCTTTCTGCAGCATTGTCTGGGAAAGACAAACTATCTTTTCTGTCCAAAATGACTTGAAAACTGCAATAGGAAAACTAATTCTTAGTCACTCAGACAAGGAATGCACTGAAGTTACAACAGCTCACTAGAGTGCATAAGAGACCTTCTGGCAAGCAAATACCCTTGCAAAATGTGGCATCAACACGTGTCAATACCAGCATTTAGTCACGCCTTTGACTGAAAAAGAAATTAGAAGAATGATAGAAAAAGCCCAAAATCCAACCCTAGGAAAAAAACAACAAAAAATAACCAATCACCTAAAACAAAACCAACCACACGGAAAGACTTTCCCCTCCCTTTTCAAAGAGATTATTGTGAATAAAAATACAATGTGGTGATTATGTGGACACTTGGCAGAGACAACAGCTAGTGTTTGTGTAGGAAAACAGCACTAAGTATAAAGTCGTGGTTAATCATGTAGAGACACAATTCTTCATCCTTTTTCAGTGGGTTAAAGGTCTGCTTTGGCCCTATGTTTAAGGAATAATTTGTTTCAGTGATCTGCTCTATTGGAATTGCATTTTAGTGTTAAAACTCTTTGTGCTTTCAGCCCCCATTCCTGGCAGCAAGCTGTTTTGCTTTCTGATTTGATGGCTTTTGTCTTAGTGTTGCAGTATTCCACCCCTCCTCCTCCCAAGCTTTTAATCATGACAAATCTTCTAAATGCAGACAACTTTTTAATCTCATCCAGCATCTTCTGGTTTTCCTGTCTGAGTTAGCCTTTGTGCCAATTTCATCCTACAAGCTGTGATGAGCAGCTGCTCAAAGCACTCCCTGATGCTGTAGGTGGGCTCAGAGACATGCAGTGCCAGAGCTGAACTCAGTACTAGGAAGCGTCAGGCACAGGATGAGCAGAGACATCCGATTTATTCTCCAGTGTATTTTGCTAAGTCAGGCCTAGGAACAAGGATCAGAGCATCATTTGTACTGTGCCAGTGATAACATGATAAAGCGGATGTTCTCTTTTCTCCCATAGCTGTAAAGTCTGTTTCTCTTTACCAGATGATTTATTGCTAAAATTACAAGGTAGAATAGAGCAGATCCAGAAAACCATGAGCAGGAGAAAATTAATAAATGTCTCCCTTTATATTCCTAAAAGTAGAATTACATTTGTGGAGTTTTCAGACAACAAATGAAACACAGCATCCAATACATATAGTATTGTGACAAGAGTTCTTGTGTTGGGATCAAAATGTTTTTACCTGACATTTCTGAGTCTCCTTGCCCCAGCTGACATGTGAGGAGGGGGGGATGGTGAAATCATAACTGGTAGCAGCAGGGGCAAGTGCTAAATCAGATATTTAGGACAACTGGATCATCTGCAAAAGAATTTATTTTTGTCCCATGACTGTGTTTCAGAGAGGGGCCAAACACTCAAGGAGAGGTTCTGCCCCAGTCCATATGCACATTTCTAGTCCTCCTTCACACCAGGAGCAGGTGTAAATCTGGACTGAAGTGAGGTGCTAATACACTAGGATAGAAACTGCTTAGCTGAAACAAAGCAATACCTTCTCAAATTCCATTGAGTTCCATTTCATAATTCATTTCTTAATAAAGCCCCCACAGAATGGTGGGGGTTGGGTTGGAAGGCAGCTTAAAGATCATCTCATTCTACCCCCCTGCCATGGGCCGGGACACCTTCCGCTATCCCAGGTTGTTCCAAGCCTATCCAACTTGGCCTTGGACACTTCCAAGGATGGAGAATCCACAGCTTCCCTGGGCAACCTGTTCCAGGGCCTCACCACCTTCATTAGGCAAAATATATTTCACATATTTAATCAAAACCTGCCCTTTTTCAACGCAAAGCCATTACCCCTCACTTATCACATAACCACCTGTAATTGGATTATTATATTCTGAAATGAAATGGCTGTCCTGATAGCCTCTTAATAGATTTTCCAATAGGTGGCATATCAGTTTATCTGCATTCTTCAGTTTTACAGCCTTGCATTTCAGTTTGGTGACCCTTAGGGAGATTCAGCTTTTGTAATAATGCACTGAATGGGGAATTGTGGAGGAGCATTATGTAATAAGTGGCTACCAGCCATAAAATGTCAAATTTCAAAACCCTGACTTTATTCCTGTTGTAATTCTGTCTGTTTCAATGTTTGTGCCAGGGCTGTTTGGTTTTGAATCTGAATATATGAAAGGAAAGCTGTAATTTGCAGTCTCCACCAAACAGTAAAGGATGTAGGTCCTATATTGAGATATATAATAGATGCTCAGATTTTGGTAAATAGTATTTTAAAATTGAATTGGTTAAACTGTTAATATAAATGGAGGGGGATTATGAGAGGTGGGGATTTTTACGAAGCTCTTGGAAACCAACATCGCAATGCTGCTGTTTCCCACCCAGATAATTCATTTTATAAGCGCCGGGTTTCGCATACTAATGCTTTTCAAAGTGCTTACGGCCGCTTCGAAGGTACACTTGAGCGGTACCATCCAGCTAGCGCGGAGCACCGTTCCTCGCCTGGCCGGTGCCGTCACCGGGCGCGCTCCGGCGCTCCCGGGCAGCGCCGGTGCCCGCGGGGGGCGCAGCCGGCGCCGGCCGCGCTCCGCTCCGCTCCGCTCCGCTCCAGCCCCGCAGCTGCACGGGGCTCCCGCCGGCAGCCGGGTCACGTGTGCGGGCCGTAATCCCGGCGCGGGGGTGTCGTTACCGGGGAAGGGGGCGGCAGGAGGAGGGGCTGCCGCCCATGAGGGCTGAAGCCGGGAGCGCGGCCGGCTGCGGGCGCCGGAGCCGCGGGCGCCGCTGCGGGCGAGGCGGGGGCTGCGGCCGCGGCCATGGCCTGGCCCTGCATCAGCCGGGTGTGCTGCCTGGCCCGCTTCTGGAGCCAGCTGGACAAGTCCGACCTCTCGGTGCCGCTCACCATCCACAACTACTCGGACATCGAGGAGCAGGAGGACGGGCCGCCCCAGCGCGGCGGGCCCCCTCCGCGGGGCAGCGCTCGCCCGCCCGCCCCGACGCGCCGCCCGCGGGACGCCGCCGCCGGGAAGCCGAGCGGCCGCAGGAAGAGCCGGGCGGCCGCCGCCGAAGAGCCCTTCGCGGCGGAGACCCAGTACCGGCGGGACTTCAGAGCGTGGCCCCTCCCGAGGAGGGACGACTTCCCCTGGGTCAGCGCCAGTAGCGGCGGCGGCGTCGGGAGGGACGGGGCCGCCCCCCTGCCCGCCCCGGGACGCGCCGCCTGCGCCCTGCCCGGCGGCGGCGGCGGCAGGCCGGCGGCCGACGGCCCCGAGCAGCTCCGGCCGCGCTCGCAGGCGGACGGCGGCCACACCACCTCCTACAGGTAACCGGGCCCGGCGGCTGCCCCGCTCCGCCCCGGGCCGGGACTGCTCCTCCGCAGCGCGGGGCGGGGATGCCGGCGGGCGGCCGCGGTGCGGGGGAGCCGCCACCGAGGGGAGGGGAACGGGGGCTGCCGGCCCGCCCGCGGGCTCAGCCTCTCGCCGAAGCCGCCTTTGCTTTTGCAAGCGCGGTCCTTAAACGCGTCTGTGATGCCCCGGGCAGGTGCGTGGCCCCGGCGGCCCCTCCGCGGGCCGGGGCAGCGCAGCCGGCCTCAGTGCG